TAATATATTTCACGTGATATAGAATGACTAAAAATGGTGGAAAAAAATTAAAAAGCAATTCAACATTTTTTTGCCATTTTTCACAGTGATATATTATGAACAAAAATATTCTTTTAATGAAAAAATAAGACTATAATTAATTTATAATAAAAAGTTTGATAATAATTAGTGTTATTAATTTATATATAAATTATTCCAAGCAAGTACTGATAATTATTTAATCTAAAAATATATTTCCAAGATACTTGATGTTTAGTTCAAAGAAAGAAGGTTATTATCAAACAGAAAAGAGAAGAGAAAATTAATCATCTATTTCTATTGTAATAAGAATAAACATTTTTTTCATTAGTTCCTTGTTGAAGACGTCATTTTAGTTAAGTCGTCCATATATTTTCTCAAGAAGTAATCAAACAAAAATTCTCTAACAATAGTAACTCAATGATTTTGCTAATATTAAACTCGATAGGTTTAATGGTAAAAATATAATATATTTTCTGTATACATGAAGGGGACCTGGATCTATAATAGTCCAACATAACTGAAGTGTATAGTTGCTTCACACTATATAGAATGCCATTATAGTTCAAGTTCCCCTATATTTTATTATTTCTAGGCTTTCTGAAGGAAAAGCGACCCTTTCAACCCGCGTTTCTTTCATGGAATATTTGTTCCCCCAATGCTTTAATAACCATCTTGATACTGGAGATATAATAGTCCAAGGCTGACCATACTTCTTTCTTTCAAAACAATATCATATTGTCACTTCCTTAAGAATTTATACAAATATTGAAATATGCTTTGTTATGATGAAATAATGTTGTTTGATTTTATTTTATATAAATAATTCAGAAAGAAAAAAATAGCCACCAATTGATGAACAGGATGAAGTATATTCAAGTGTTATATATCAAGAAAAAAGAAATAATTATCATCAACAATTCAATCAGTTAAATAGTCACAAAAATATCTCTTCTTCAAAATAAAGTGTAATGTCTGTTTAACTAATAAATAAACTTGATAAAAAAATGTTTATTGTGACTATTTAAAAAAAAAAAAATCCTTGTTTATGAGGACAAAATTTTTTTTCTCAGTATATTAAACTTTATAGCTAATATTTCATCACCAACACAATTCCAAAAAAGTGAATAAAAAAGCTGCCATAAAGTTTGCCAAGTTTTTCACTCATTTCTATATTTAAGCATAGCCGATATTTCTTATCTAATCATTTCGAATATAAATTGACTTATCAACTATATATTGTATGCACAACTATAGACTGACAAGTTTCATAGCAAATTCATGCTTCTTCTTGATAACATAATAATATTCAAATGATTTTATTGATATTTATTTTTTGAAACATCCTTCATACTTTCTCTAAATAAAATACATCAAAATTTCGAGTAAAACATAAATTAAATTATTTTTTTTAGCAAATTTCACCAGTGAGACTTTGATAATTAGTTCATCAATTTTATCAGATGAATCTTTTTTAATTATTCTTTGATAATAATTCCTTCTGATCATTTTGAAGAAGAAAAAAAAAAAAAAAGTGAAATGAGCTGGCTTCTAGGTTCTATGTTACATAACATCATCCTTTTGCTATTTTCTAGTTCAGCTAATTTGGTTCAAAGGAAAGTAATAATGAATATTGAAATAATACTCACAAACTCTGTGACAAAAATCGCGAAAATGCTAATTTTCCAATTCGGTTGTTCTTCAAGCCATCTAACATAGTCGACGTTGTAATTTCCATCGTTCCAAGGTAGTATATGTATATGTTGAAGGAGTTGAAGGAAATTCGTTTATAAGAAATGTTCGTATAAAACTTGACACATGTTATTAATCAACTGTAACTGGATTTTCAAACTTTAATACTCAATAATGAAGTATAATCAGCTAATCCATACTTTTATGAACAATAAAATACTTTTTTGTCCTTATATATCACTTTAAGCCTTTTTCGATGTTGGAGTTTAAATTTTGATTTAGAATATTTTGTCGTTTATATATAGATCTATCTGTATACACTTGAACCTTTACAATTCCTCTCTCTCTCTCTTTCTCTTTTACAGGAATTTGGTGTATTTTTAACAACTTCGTTGATTGCTTTTGGGAAAAAATTTTCAACATTTATTGATCAAGTTAACGTTGATGAATGCATTCTATGTCGTTTTATTTTATTCACTAATAAATATCCTGTGAATAATTAAAATATCAGTGTACTCATCAAATATAATTTATTCATAATAAATTAGACAGGTGTGTAGTTATTTATTATTGACGAGGCTAGTTTATGAAAGCTCAACGATGAACATTATTTCAACTAGACTACTACAAAATGTTCATCCAAAATCGATGTACGAGGCGATTATCACATTATTGCAATTCTATGTACGACATATTTTGTTTTCAGATTAGTCTGAATTTAAAAAATATAACCAATAGCTTAAAGCACCAATAACCACATAACGATTTATTTATTTATATTCACAAATATTTCGATGATAATTAATGGCAAAATATGATGAATTAATGTCCGTTATAAATATTATTTTATTCTAAATTTTCATGATTAGGCCATAAATAGTCCATCAATGCATTACTATGTTCTATTGACATAAAGTAATTACGATATATACGTTACAAAAAATCTAATGCAACGACGATGACAACAACAACAACAACAATATTATTAACAACAACGAATGAATGAATTTAAATTCATCATTGACAGTCGTATCTTATTTCGATGAATTCACTGAATATTAAGTTATTATTTATTATTCAACACATTGGTATTAATTATTGCACTTGAAATGTATTTAATTCATATAATTATAATGAATTAACTACAATTAATTGTATAATATTTCACAATCCTTATGATAACGAGGTATTTAGATTTCATTCTCTTCTTTCATACTCAAATATCACTGGTGATTTTTATCAAGAAAATTTAGCTGATGAATTTAGCACGTTCTCCAAAAAGATAACTTAACTATTATTTAAAGACATTTATGTAAATAAATTATTGTCCGACATTCAACAATCACAATCATTGTACTTATGCTTGAGTTCTCAATGCTGTCGGTCAATAAAATGATTTGACTTCCGTAAATATTTGTTATCAATTCGTAGTCCTGCGCACCAAACACGAACTCTCGCAGTAGTCTAGTCGACAGTATGACCTACTCAGAACCCGCTCAGCTGTTTTAACCCTCCCACTAGGAGTCGAATCCCGACTTCTCTTATCCACTACCCCCTCTTCGAAGCTATCTTTCTCACCACCCTCATAATAATTTTATCTCAAGTCCTATAAAGAGAAAATAAATCAATAATCACTATGTCAACCCTGAATTAATTTGAATTAAATTTTCAAGAATTTAATAAGTCAAGTGAGCTTCATTGAGATTAAAAGATTTTCAAAATATCAAACAATTTTACGCCTTCATCAAATAAATTTATAGAAATTACGTCAATTGACATCAAGAATAATCAGTCACTCTCCATTGTTTGGAGGGAATTCATTAATTCAAGGAATCATTGTGAATGCTCCAGTCATAGTTGGAGAATCTGATCAATTATATATGTGAAGTATACCGTTTTCTCCTTTATATTGTGTCTCTATATATGCATTAATAAATGTATAGTGAATTGAAATATGCATCAAGACAATAGAAATAAAAAAAAAAGTGCTTTGAAATATAACCTGCTTTAGGGGATTTTTAAATTTTTAGTTTCAAGAGTTACCAAAACAAATTGAAAGCACAAAAAGTATCTCAAAAAGGCTTGAAAGCATTTATTTTTACCAAACGACAGCACTTTTCTACAATCAATAATTTGACCATTAGTGAGACCCCAACATGGCTCTGCCTAAAGGAAAATCTTTCTCAAACTTTTTTGCGTACTAAAGTTTCTTCAAGTCCATTCCTTTGTGTATCAAATAATCAACTATTCGCAACACTTTCTTTTCCTAGTTTATATTTATCATTATATCTTGATTGAGAGAAACTATTATTGGTTTTCGATCTTATACTCCAGGCAAAATATCTATTTTATTCATATATGCTACCTTTACTTCCAAGATATTTGATGATTGTATAGAAAAGAATCTATTCCAGATTTTACATAAATCAGAATTTGAATAAAGAAAAATTATAAAAAAGCTTTCGAATTCTTTTTTTAAGACTTAATATCAATGGATTATTCTCATTCAATAGCTTATACAACAATTGCGAGTTTCAGTTATATCAGATGATGGAAAGACTTTTTTAATCAATGTTTCTAACTTCAACCTAATTTTATACTGCTTCGTACCGAATTTACTATTTTTATTTCCCTTTATTTCCAACTTTACAATACCTACTTCTACCTCTTCATATCATCACTTAAAATCATCCAACTATTTATCCCTTTTTTCTCTAGCAAAAAATCAAACTCTACCACACATTTCAAGAATTTAACTCACTAAAATGATGCTATTCTCTTTCAAACTCTTATAAAATTTTAAATAAAAATAATATTCAATTGTTTAAAATTTTGGAATTAAAAAAAAAAAAAAATTAAACATCTTTATATCCAAGATCAGATTCACTAGAAAATAATATTGCGAAAATTGCTTATTAGATCTTGATAGATTTCCAAGATGTCGCCTATCAGTGCAGCATTTATGATCAGAGCGTGTTGCAGAAACTTCTTTAATTAAATATATCACACACCACTAGAATAACCAAATTTAATTGTGATTGCAGTGCATGTAATATTAAGTGCACTGATACATGAAAATTTAACGACCTTATCCCTAAACTAAAACTTTCAACTTTAAACATAAAATATAAACCATGTGATTGTAATCCTTATTTTATCCATTTGAATATAATCTCATGTTGATATTGATGCAGAATTAGAGGATATTATCCCAAGATTATGATTATCCTGATAAGCTTGGTAATGAAAGGAAAAAAAAAAAAAGAGTTTAGAATCATAAAAATACTCACCCCAACGCCTTCGTATTAATCAATGGAGTTTTGAGATTAAGAAATCGATGCTTTTTTAAAAACGGTTGTGTCTGATTATACTGAATATTTTCTTCATTATCTAAATGTTGTTCAAGATCACGACCTTTAGTCTTTTTTGCTCGAAGATACAGCCAAATAGCCAGACTTAGACCAAAGAGGATCCCTATTGCTCCAAATGTTCCAAATACAGCTGTCAATATTATATCACGACGTTCCATACTCATCTACCAAAAAAAAATATATTTATATACATATATACATAAAAGATATTCAATTGATGTCATTATAATTACAGATAATAGCCAGTAAGAAGAGTCAAGTATTACACAAAAATAATCAGAAATGAACGCGGTGATAAAATAACACAAAATGATGTTAATTAGTTAGGAAAAATATCTGGCAGAAAAATAATAACTTAAATATATATTCGTGAAATATAGTATAATAAAATCAGCAAGTTAACAGTAAGCTAGATTTTACAGTGATCAAGTGAAGTTGAAAGAGATAAAGTGAGTAAATAAAATTCATAAATGATAAAAGCTTTATTTTGTGCAGAAAAATTGAAGGAAATATGCTGTCAGAAATTTGATTTGGATCTGGTAAGGAAGTCCCTTCATTTTTTTATCTTTTATTTATTATTTTATATTAATATAATAATTAGGTGAAAATATGATATATAAGATAAAAGTTTTTAACTTTATAATGAGACATGAAGATTTGATTAAAAATATTTAGATAAACTAGACCATCTCAATTACTTCTTTCCTTATCTTTTTTAAAAAGGAACAGGAAGTTGGAGAAGTTTTTTCAAACTAATTATAGGAGACTTAAAAAAATATTAGCTCTTTTTTTTTTCTCTTTGGTGGTTATAACATTAAAGTGGCCTAAATAAAAGGGTTTTATTTACTCCAAAAATATATAAGAATATTGGTAATCAATACAACCTACTGATGAATTGTTTGATTAAAATATATTCAATGATAATATAAATAATAATAGGAGTAAATAATTTATTGTGATAATAATATATTTTTTTCATGCATGTTGTTGTACTACTTTATAAAATTTTTGTTGAATTTTTATTTATTTTATTTCTTTATTTTGTCCAATTAATTATTAACTCATAATTGCTGTGCTGGTTGGTAACATCAAAAAGTACTTATATAATTGCACATTTTTCAACAACGTGTTCTCAATTTAACTGTTCTATTTACTTCTATATGTAACTCATATTTATGTTCAATAAAGTACATACATTTCATTGTAATATCACATTTAAAAGATGAAAAATTCACCTCACATATTCAAGTTAATTTCATTCCAACTGTTAAATATATTTAATAAAAATAATTTTTATTTATTTTATACAAAAAAATTCAATTATTGATTATTAATTTATTTATTTTTTTTTGTTTTATTTATTCAGATGTATTTTATTAATTGAAAAAATACTTCAAAGAATAAAATACCTATTCCTTTTTATTTGGAAAAAATAAAAATACTATTTGATCAAAAAATATATACGTATGTATGATAATATATTGAAGCATATATGGTAAAACATTTATTTTTATTCTCATCTGAGATGAAATAGCGAAAACATTTTTAAAAGTATGCATTTAAATATAATCTACAAAATGTAATATTTCAATAGATATTATTATTTTTCAAGTATAAAATATTTTTGGCTAAAACGATTTTAATTTCAATATAGAGGAATTTAATAAGATATCTTTTTTTAATAATAAAATAAAAATCCCCACTAAAATTCTAGTAATATTTAAATATTTTATCTCTATAAAATTTTATATACGATTTTTATTATTCATTGTAACCATTTTATGTAAGATTTATAACAAAAAAAAAACAATTTAAGATTTAAGATTAAACAATAAAATAACCCAAAAAGGTTTGTTTTGAAGTAATAAGTCTTAATAAAAAAAAAATTCATTGGATTTGAAGTAGGTATTTATTCTAGTAATAAACAGACTTTTTTGAGATAATAAAAAACATATAATCCGATTTGCTCGTTTTCTCTTACCTACGTCGTATTATCAGAAAGAGGATAATAAAAATTGCAAAATAAATGCTAAAACAGTGTAAGAAAAGCTCATCATTGGCGTCGGATTCTTATCCTCTCTCTCATTTACTCAAGGACTAAATTAATTTATCCTCAAGTATTTCCTCGAAAACGTTTGTAAGTACGGAGATATACAGTTATATTCAGATTATATGGACCGTGAAATAGTTATGCCAGATCATTTTAGAGCACGAAGGATCATATTTGGTCAGCCACATCGATTGAGTTGCTTTCAGGCAATATTCAGTCAGATATAATACTGTAATATTTATTTATATAGCTTTATCAAACAGTTAACCTGTGATATAATGCAATTTTTATCGTTTATAGATGTTTGAATAAGATAAAATTAATTTTATACTTTTTTTTTTATATACATAAATATATATAAAGCTATGTTTTAAAGAAATTGTAAATAATCTTGAAAAACAATCTGAAAATCACATGTATTTTTTTTCACGTGAGCTGTGAAGGATTAAGGTTAAATCAGATATTAAATCTTATTTAGTTTTGTTATAAAAAAAAATTATATAAAACATTTTAATTAAAAATATTTAAATTATTTATAATATTTAATAATTAATAAATTATAGTAATAATAATGAAGTAATTTCTATGGAATATAAACTAAAAAAAAAAAAACACAAAGATTTGAAATAATTTTTTAAAATAAAATCAGACAATAAGAATAAAATTTTAATATTCATTATGAATAATTTCCAATTTTTTTTTATTAAAAAAATCTCGTTTTTAAAACTCAAGCTTTACTTCGTCAAAGATTTTGTAAAATTTCAGAATAAATTTAAATTTGTCTTCTTTTTATGCCGATAAACCTTAAGATAAATCTGGGGTAAGAAGAGCTTTTAAATATTTTTGTAGATTTCTTTTTTTTTTTTTTGAGTTGAGCAAAAAGAATTCAAAAAACTGAAAACATGAGATAACTCAAATTGCATAGCAATTTAAAAAACCACTGATAAAATAATGGGATTATAAATATAAATAACACATTTTTAAGGATTTATAATAATAAAAAAAAATAATAATATAACAAAATACAATTCTACTATTTTAATAAAAGAAACAATGATTATTTTTCTAGACAGTTTTATTTTAAAAAATATATAGATGTGATACATAGTAAAAATAATTAACGAGTAAAAGGTATAGTGTAAAAAATTTATGATAATAAAGAAATTACAAATAAGAAATAATTATTACCTTTTTTTAGAATAAATTTAATCTCATTTTCTCATGTATTATTTTATTTTAATATGTATTTCTTATTTTATCTCAAATGATTTTATAAACTCTATATTACCTCATAATTATTTTTACCAATAATTGTACAATTATCATAATAGAATTGCTTCATAAAACAAATGAAACTTCTATCTAGAGAAATAATTTATTGAATAATAGAATACGTCAATAATAACCATTCACAATTGACTATATAATAATATCTTTTGTATACTTTAAATCACTATTTAAATTTTAAATGAAAGAAAATATCATTCATAATCCTTTTTTAATCAAACTTACCCTTTACTTTTTTAATTAAATATTTTTAATCAATATTTTAAATTCAACATTTTCTCAATCTTTTCAATATCATATTCCATACATCATACACTTTATGATAAAACAAGATAAATTTGAACAATGAATAAATTTGACAAAAATTCACTATTATTGTAATAAAATGTCAAATAGAGTGTACTTTGTAATAAAAATTGCTTGAGCTTAAATAAACTTTTAATCAATCTACAGCAGATGATTATATAGTACGGTTAGTTGTTCATGTATTATTAATATTAAAAAAAAAGCTCTCTGGTGTGCTAATTTTTTTTTCTTAATATTATTCACGTAACTCTTAATTAATTTCACGGAAAGTAACATGTTATTTGCTTCTTTATGTTGGTGTAATCGAGAGAATATATTCATAAAATAACGAGCTTAGTCGACTAGATTCAAACTACGAAGCTACATAGTATTCTTAACCCCAACCGCACGCCTAAACCACTTAAGCTTTACAGTTGAGTTAAGATGTATAAACTTGAATGTCAATTTACGTGGTTATTTGTCCTATAGAATATGTAATGTTTATAATTCCAGTTTATACAGATATATTTTTTATTTACTTACAATTATATTTCGAAATAACAGGTCACTGAGTTCATTTATAATTTATTTCATTAGATCTTCCAAGTATATTAATAAAATAATTTATTTCGTTATTAAATTGTAGTGTAGGCACTTTTGATGTTTCATAAAAGTTATATTTTATGTCAAAAAATGACTTTCTGATTCTAATGATTGATGGCTTTTATTTGATACTAAATAAACAATGCTGTTATTTCAGAATTTTTTTATATGAAAAAAATTTTTTTTTTTTCGTCACTAAATCACGTTTTTTATTTAATATCAAGTGAACTCAATTTTTTTTGTCTAAAAGATTGAATTGTCAATCATGAAGCTAAATTACTATCAAAAAAATCTCTTAAATTTGATGACAAATTACCGGTTCAAATCAGTTGAAAAAAAGGATAAGACATCATTGTAATTTTATTTTCTTTCAAAAAATCTTGAATTGAAGAATCGAAAAAATCAAAATGGTTTCCTATAATTTTGTTAAATCACTGCTTTTTTTTTTATTGATGTTCACACTTTTGTATTTACTACAACTTCATGAATCAATATTTACCCTCCAAAAGCACAACATTATTTAATTTCCTCATCATTGTTTATTTCAGTAGATATTTCCATCTAATCAAAACTATGAATTCAAAGATCTTTATTACATGCATCATTTTTAATTTTATAAATCAAATCTTTGTTCAAAATTAAACAATTCTTTTGAGATATTTCAATTGTTATTTAGAATAAAATTAATATTGTTTATTAAATATCCTAATGCATTAATAATATTACGTCCGACTGATTAATTTAATTTATTGAATTAACAGAAATTATTTGATTAATGAAAATGATTATAATATTTTAATATTAATACATATTTATTAATAGTATTTTATATATTTAATAATAATAAAAAACAAAAAATTGATAGCAATTTAACAACACTAAATAATTTTGTTTACGAAAATTTAAAGAACTGTAAATTGAATGAATGTTAAAAAACCA